TGTTTGTGATGCCAATTGTCTAGCTACTTGACCACACCAGTTGTCGGGCTCTTTTACCTGCTAGTAATCCTACTGACTGGGCCGATTGTAAAGCTAGGGCTGGGTCTGGAGCTCACAGACCCCTCAAGCCCATTCAGAGACTGGGTCACAAACCCTTCACATGCCAGGCTGGGTCCCGACCCCTCACAAGCAGGTCTATGAGCTAGGTGACCAGCAAACAGGTCCTTAGAAGCTGTAGGTTGGAAAGCACAGCTGTGCCAGTGAGCAGACACCTGCCAGCCTGCTTCACCAAAACTCTCTGAAGAACACAAGAATAGCAAGAAAACTAAAAGGATACATTTGTGCACATGCACACTAACTACACACGTGTGTACGTGCAGGCATACACACACACACACACGCACGCACACACACACAATTTGCTTACAAAGGATGAGCTGAACCACACCCAACTGGACCCGAGGGGAAGGCCCTGACCAAATTATTCTATTTTCCCAACAGACTCCTTGGAGAAAGACTAATTGTAGGTTTGCAGCAAGGTAACATCAAGCCAAGCCTACAGTATCTTGTGCCACAAAGCCAGGCAGTACTGGATGGAGACATGCCAGAGGTACAGGAGCCAGCTTGAACAGACCTCCAGTGACCAAACCTGGGACAATTTGAGCATCAAAAAGAATAAGGAAAGCAATAAATTGCAACACATTAAATACAAAAAGAATATATGATCTTTTAGAGATATACACTAAAATATTATAGATAAACTGTTAGGTTGGGTTAGCTTCAAAGTAATACCAGGGGCTGGCCAGTTGCTCAGTTGGTTAGAGTATGGTGCTGATAACACCAAGGTCCAGGGTTCAATCCCTGTATCAGTCAGCTGCCAAAAAGAAAAGAAAAAACAAACACAAAAAAAACTGGGCAGGGGGAGAGTGGTGGAGTATAAATTAAACTTTATAGAATCAAAACTTGCTGAATTAAATTTCCCCAAATAGAAAAACACCAAAGGCCTCAGATACTGATATTTTTCTTTTTATTTATCTATTTATTAATTTTTTTTGTTTGTTTTTTAAAAGATGACCGGTAAGGGGTTCTTAACCCTTGGCTTGGTGTTATCAGCACCACGCTCAGCCAGTGAGCTAACCAGCCATCCCTATATAGGATCCAAACCCGCGGCCTTAGTGTTATCAGCACCGCACTCTCCCAAGTGAGCCACGGGCCAGCCCTTTCATACTGGTATTTTTCTTCATTAAAACTTATATAGGGGCTGGCCCGGTGGCGCACTCAGTAGAGTGCGGCACTTGGGAGTGCGGCGGCGCTCCCGCCGAGGGTTCGGATCCCATATAGAGACCAGTCCGCTCAGTGGTTGAGCGCCGTGCGGGCGCAACACTGAGGGTTGCGATCCCATTGCCGGTCGTGGTACGGGCGCGACACCGAGGGTTGCGATCCCGTTACCCGTCACGAAAAAAGACAAAAAGGAAAAAAAAAAAAACCTTATATAAAGTAATTTATACAGAAATTTTACCAGAAAGTATAAAGGAAAAGAGTTGCTGTAATTGTTTCTAGATGTCCTGGGGGTTTGAATGATAGATGACCTAAATACCACTCTTCCAACTCATGCTGTCTCCAAGGCTATGTCCCCTTTCTCCAACACACCTGATGTTTCACTTGTTCCTGAAAACCTACAGCAGGGACACATTTGAAATAATGCAATTGACCTAGTTCCCCATGCTTTTTGGCATAAAAAGTCACAAAAAATTACTTTGAAACTGTCAGTGTAGACTTCTTTTTATCTTTGAATAACTGAAACTTTTCAGAGTCAGAGAGAGAGAGAGATTTTTCCCCTACAATTGAAGCACTATTTATTACACGGGAAAAAAAAAAAAAGAAATGATCATGCTGTGGCTGATTATGTATAACTACTTGTAATATAAAATACAGCAGATCAATACATACTGATATAAAATGATCTTCAATTTACATAATTAAGTGAAAACATTTAGGGTGTGTTACAGCAGTAAGTATAGGAGTAGGTGCTATCCATGCTTGTATATGCAAAGGATATCTCTGGGGAATAGAAAGAACCTAGAAACAATGGGGACTCGGGGAGGAAAACGGGGGTCTGGGAGGAAGACTTACTTCTCACTCTGAACTACACTGGAACTGTTTTACGTTTTACCAGGTGCATGTTTTACTTATTTTTAGGAAATGCATAAATATGTTTTCATAAATGCTGTCCAGGCATTACCTCCTCTGTGAGAGGCAAATTTTTAAAACCATTCGGACATGTGAAGAACCTGCAACTCTACCACCCAGAGAACTGCTGATAATGTTATAGTGCATACCCTCCTAATCAGGTTCCTGGCTGTTTTGTAAGCAAGGTTTTCAGTTTTCTAATTCACCATAACATCTCTCCACATCATTTTTCTAGAAGTGCAAACCATTTGTTTATTTAATACTTTACATTTAAATCTAAATTATTTTGTAAGCTTTCCCCTAAATCTTTAATTATTTTTGAAAACATTTAAAATGACTACGTAGTACTTCCTCATATCCAATCATTCTGTTGTTGGCCATTTGGGTTTTTAGAAAACTTCTTGCAACTGAAGTTAAGAAGAGTTATCTATAAACTAAAAATTAAAAAAAACGCTCCCGCCGAGGGTTCGGATCACACATACAGACCGGCCGCTCACTGGCTGAGTGAGGTGTGGGCGTAACACCGAGGGTTGCGATTCCATTGCCGGTCCTGGTCCGGTACGGGCACGACACTGAGGGTTGCGATCCGTTGCCGGTCACGAAAAAAGACAAAAAGGAAAAAAAAAAAAAACACAATAAAAAGGCTGGCCCGTGGCTCACTTGGGAGAGTGTGGTATTGATAACACCAAGGCCAGGTGTTTGGATCCCTATATAGGGATGGCTGAACAGATAAGTAAAGGAAGGAAAAGGTAAGTAAAGGAAGGGAGGTCTCCCTCAGAATAGAATGCCAACAGTAAGTATAGAATAAATGATGGAATTAGAAAACCTCTATTTGGAGACCATCATAGTAATAGCTTAGTAATAGCTGGAATAATAACTGATTCAATCACGAATTATCATTGGAGGCTTAAACTAGTATGTTCAAGTTTGATGAGAAACTGAATATCTACAGAGCCTCAAAGTATTTCCCAGAAGATTCTTATTAACGACAAGAAGAAAAATACTGGAGAAACCTACAGACACCACCTCAAGCAAGTGTTCAAAAATAATATCACTAGTACTGGGACAAATCAACATCGTGAGCACAGAGGTCACATCACTTCTGTGGCAATCCTGCCAAAAATGTGCATCCTGAATCCAATCATGAGGACACATCAGAGAAACCCAAATTGAGGGACACTGTACAAAATAATTGGTCTTTATTCTTCAAAAGCACAAAGATCATAAAAGACAAAGAGGTGAACTGTTACTGATTTAAAGATATGACAATGAAACGAGACAGTGATCCTATGGTGGATTCTGGACTATAAAAACCAAAATGAAATAATTTGCTCTCAGGGACATTATTGGGAGAACTGACTAAATCTGAATAAGGTCCACAGATTAGATAATAGTATTGTGATAACGATTTCTTGATTTTGATAACTGTACTGTGGTTTTATAGGGGAATGTCCGTTTTTAGGAAATGAGGATAAAACAAATGTGGTAAAAAGTTAACATTTGGAGAAATCTGGTGAAGAGTATATGAGAATTCTCTGTACTATTCTTGCAACTTTAACTTTTCTGTAAGTGTGACACACACACACACACAGAAACCTTTGATAGCAAACCAATACATTGAACATCCTCAATCATAAATACTCTGTGTTTCCTTAAAATTCTTAGTAGGATTACTAAGTTAAAGGTATACAGTTTTTAAAAGATTGACATAGATTTAAAAGGTTGATATTAAAATATATTAATATACAAAAACAGAAGTTTTTGGAAACTTCTGAAAGTGGAGGAGAAAGGCTGTGGAAATGCAGGACTGAGGAGGGTAGACCACGGAGGTAGACGTGGAGTATAGAATGGGTCCTCCCAGGTGGGAAGAAGAGGAGCTAGAACTACAGAGCATGCTCAGAATGAGTGGGAACCAAAAGCCAGAGGAGTCGAAAGATCAGCAGATAAGAGGGAGAGACTGAAGCTGATGACCACTTGAGACCCTTTTCAGAAACATAATCCTTATGTGGTTTTACCAACTGCCCACAGTAATTTACCTACACGATGGCATGGTAAATGCAGGCTCAGGCATTTGGTTGAACCACAGTGCCCTGGATCTCTCCTTCTACACTCTCCCTCTGGTGTAGGCCAGTTACCCATTCTTGAGTCATACTGAGTCCTTGAGCCTTTCCAGTTGGCACCCAAGAAGCAGCTACAACATCTCCACCCAGTTCATAGTCACACGACCTAGTGGCTTGCTCTATAATGTAAGTAAATAATCTAAAATAGGCATTTATTTTATTGCAGCTGGCTGGTACAGGAATCAAACCCTGGACCTTGGTGTTATCAGCATCACTCTCTAACCAACTGAACTAACCAGCCAGCCCCTAAAATAAGCTTTCATTTTAAATGCCCATGATACATTTCATCAAGTATATGTATAAATATTGGCTCCTATCAAGTACTGCTATTTGCCAGGGACAAATAAGTGTTCTGTGTGGGTTATATCATTTAATCCTCCCAATAACTCCATGGAATAGTATTATTATCCCCATTTCATTGATCAAAATTAAGTCTAGAGAGGTAAGTTAACTTGCTCCATGTCATAAAGCTTAGATTCAAACCCGAGTCTGACTCCAGAGTCTCCACTCTAAACCACCATGCTATGCTGGATAAAAGATTTTAGTTAAGAAAAAAAAAAAGGCAATCAATCATAAACTGAAAGATTTAAATTAATAAATTGGGAGCCTAGGATGAAAGTTATATTTTAGCAAATACATATCCCATTTTTCCATTCTGTAACCAAACATTTATTTGAAAAAGGGCCTTACCTGACAGAAGAACTGTTGCTGGGCTCCTGCTCCAGGTGTGGTACTGAAGGTGCTGGGAGATTTGGAAGAAGAAACTGGAAGACGATGAGACACACTGACTGGTACTGGAGTTCTGTTTGGCTGGGTCAGCTGATCTCCCGTAAAGTTTGATCCTGACTGCACCACAGACCCAAGACTAGGATGGGCAGTGCTGGCTGAGCTGACAGCAGGGAATCGACTAGGTCCTGACATGCTTGTGACTGAAGGCATGGCGGTGAAGCCAGGTCTTCCTTGGGAAATGCTGCTCTGCCCAGGTGACAGGTGTAATACCGTTGGTGATGCCTGCTGCAAGGGCATTTGTCCACCAACAATCTGAGGAGAAGCATGATTAACTATCACTGGACTTCCAGAGGCTGCAAATGTCTGCCCAGACACTAATTGGACGGCAGTATTCTGGTTGTTAAGCATCTGTCCAGAATATGGTTGGTTGGTCCTGAGCATGTTTGAAGAGTTCCTGTTCAACATGACATGCTCTGAGGCCACTTGGCCAGAAAGGAGCTGAGAGGGTTGAGTCTGAAGAAGTTGCCCATTTATGGTCTGGACGTGGTGTACCGAGTTAGAACTGACAGCAAGGCTTGTAGGTATGAGAAACTGACTTTGTGGTGTGTGAGGCTGGCCCATGGGGGAATGAATAACGATACTGCCCCCCGTGCTGCTCACTGCCTGTGAGGTGACTGGCTTTCTTGTGTTCTGTTGGTTTACAATGTTTACAGACATGTGTGGACCAACTACTGAACCCTGGGGTGAGCTTGCAGAGGCAAAAGAGATCCCTTGTTGTACATGATGCTGCTGAATTCCCAAATTGTTCACATTGTATGTATTTTGCTGACCCATCTGGATAGGCTTTGGCTGTATATTAACTGGGACTTTATTTGAATTTGGTGCAAGACCTCTTTGTATGATGATATTATGCACAGGTAAAGATGCTTGAAAATTTGTGCTGTTAAATGGAACGGTAACAGGCTGTGCTACTGGACTTGAACTGGAGTTCCCAAACAAGGAGTTGCCATTAGGAGTCTGTCTATGAACCAGAAGCCCTCCACTCACATTTGATGGGGCCTGCTGCCCACTGCCCTTTAATATGATTTGAGATCCATCTAGGTTATTAATAGTCATCATGGAAGGCTGATTACCAAATGACCCAATTAATTGTATTTGACCAGAACCACTAATCTGACTGTTATTAGACAAATGCTGGCTGGGAACACTGATCCCCACGTGTTGCATAAAGCCATGTTGCACACCCACTGTATTGCTTGCAAACGATGCTCCAACAGGAACGTGAGTCACCCCTATAGGCTGCAGCGTCTGACCTGAGTAATTAGAAACATTAGAAGCCTGAGTAAAGGATGCTGATGAAGAAGGATGAAGCTGAGCTTGTGCAAACTGTTGGCTTGAACCTATACTGGCATCCAAATATGCCTCTTCTGCCAATGTCTGTTCAGTGATATTGGCCTCCTGCAAGGATTTCTGAAGAATGTCGAAAGGTTGGTCCTCACTGAGATCAGGAAGAGGAGAAGACTCAAGTTCATCTTCAAGAAACTGAAGGCTACTCGAAAGTGGCAGTCCATCACTGGGCCCTTCTCCAAGCTGGTTGCTTACACCTTTGAGGGACGACTTAGGATCAGCATTCTAAAAAAATAAGCAGTATGTTACACGGCATATCCAATTTTTGAAAGAGAGGCATAAAAAAATTAATCTTGTTTTAGACTACGAATAAAGTATAACAGTTTGCCTTTCAGGCACAACTGTCCAAACTTCCCACCTCATTCTGATATTTTATTTCCTTAGTAATGATGCTTAACATTATGTTTATAAGTATATGCATTCATTGCTCTGGTAAGTTATTTTATAGGAAACATAAATAAAGTGAACATACAGAGGACTACCTGGAGCTTAGCTTCATTTTCTGAGATACTGCCACAGACTTTGTTTTTCAAGATTGCTCCCAGTCTAGGGCTTGAATGGGACTCAGCCCAGAGTGTGTGTATATCTAGGAGACAGCAATGTCTAGTCTTTTGTACCCCAGAGGTCTCAGTGAGTTCTGGGAGCTCTGGATGTTGTTCTAGAGAGGACCAGAAGGTATCTACCCCCAACTGCCCCAGGCATGCCCAGTTCAGATAAAAAACAAGGTTCCAACATAAAATGAGTCAATGGTCATTTGATTTCTTAAAAATAATCAACTACTATTGAGGTGCTTTAAACACCATTTAAATATTTAACAGCATATCTTTAAATAAAAATACTTTAAAAGGCACTTAAGTGTCCTAGTCAAAAGTAAAAGTCAACTAACATTTATCAAGTACCCACTTGTGTGTTACTGTCTGTCCTTAAGGAGGACATAATTCCAATTAGAGACAACAAGATGGGCATATGAAAAGAACTGAACACAGTCAATGATAAAAAAGATACACTCCACTGGCCAGCAGTCTCTTATGAGGCATGTCAAACTTATAAAAGAAAATGATATGGAATCAACAGCCATTTAAAAAAGGTGAAGACCATTTGAATGTACTTAACACTACTGTACAGTTCAGTTAAGATGGTAAGTTTGGGCCGAGCCCGTGGCGCACTCGGGAGAGTGAAGCGCTGGGAGCACAGCAGGCGCTCCCGCTGCGGGTTCGGATCCTACATAGGGATGACTGGTGCGCTCACAGTGCTCACTGGCTGAGCACGGTGTGGCCTGCCTCAAAAAAGGACAAAAAAAAAAAAAAAAAAAAAAGATGGTAAGTTTTGTTATGTGTATTTTACCACAATTAAAAAGAAAAAGAAGATGAAGAAAAATATTAAAATAGATTAATCCAAAATGAGTACTGCAACTTGCAAAACTGTAGAGATTCTCAGCTCTACGTAATAAGGTGCTGGGGGCTAGATGACAGGAAAAACTAGATAGAATAACCAAGAATAGTTTGTGTGACATGCAGTCAACAGTTGAAATGGACTAATACGTTGTTCCGAGTCAGGTGAACATCATCTTAGGACTCAAAAAAATCATTGAAAAGGAAGTGGAGAAAGCAACTGAAGGCAAGAAGCATACTGTTTTGCAGAGAAATATCAAGGCAACAATGGAGATCTCCTGAGTGGTGAGACATAGTTTAATGTTTTTACAGTGCACAAGT